TCACCTGAGACAACACCAGCGTATGATAAACCAGGGGCGGTGGATGAACCTGAAATTGGCTGGGCCGCAGCAACAGCGAGACGATGCTGAACTGTCCGACTGTTGGGCACCATTTGGATACTCGCAGGTTTGGCTTGTTGATTGTTGAGCGGAATCGGGGCTAGGTTCGGAACATGTCGACGGGGCTGGAGAGCTGGGTACTGGACTTCCGTGAGTACAGGAGGCGAACGATGATTACGGACGCGACCAAGCTGGTTGTTGATTGTGGCCTTCCGACGGATATTAATGAACTCCACTCGCTTGGGACATCCGCGATTGGAGGCTTGGTGGTTTCCACCGCAGTTGACACACGTTGGCTCGATGTCATCATCTTGCTCACAGGACGCAGTTGAGTGAGTTCCAGCACACTTGCCGTAGTTTGTCTTCATGTGGCAGTTTTTGGTGCCATGGCCATATGAGAGGCAGTTCATACACTGCGTTACATCACGATGCTGGGGTTTGTAGTGCTCAGTTGATGATGACCTGAAACAGATCCCGGATCTCAGAGCCGAAAGACTGGTGGATCCCTTCGTGAAATGCACCAGAAACAACTGATCACGGAAGCTGGTGTTTTGGTTGGGACGCCGGTTCATCTGGAACACGGCCTCAGGTTGGAGCCCAAGCCGCTCCAGCTTAGGTAGCTTAGGAAGCTCGTATTTATACCCTCCGTATTTTCCCCTCGTTTACCCAGCACTGCTTGCTGTGTCAGAATTTCCCCTCACTAAGCATGAGATTTTGATCGCATCTAACTTCTTTCACGCTAATTTAGTTTAACTCAAATTGAGTGTTTCATTACTTGACTCACCTCTCAAGTTTTTATTTATTTATTTTATTATTATTATTCCACACCAACTCTATCTGCCACAATTGATTTTTTTTTAAAGTATATTTATTCTAAATATTTTTTACAGCAATGCAAGTTTTTCAAATTTTATATTTTTAAAACAAGTACTGAGGATCCAAGAGTGAATTCATTAGTATCATGTTTAACGGAAATTAAACCATTTGCACTATTTTTTTAGTTTTCTGACAGAACATCATTATTTTGATTTGGGGTAACTTTGATAATGCTCGATGAATGTAGAAAAAAAAACGTGAAACTCAAACAATTTAGTTCTTTAAATATGAAACTTTTAATGAGTATATAATCATAAAACATCATAAGCAATAAGAATACAACATTGAATTTGTGATGGCTGCATTGGTAATACATTTCATAAGTGATGGTTTGGGTGCTTTTTCAAACAGGTGAACAACACGAAAATTGTTTATTAATATGTTTGTTAAATTTGTAACACATTCTATATAAAAACTATATACGATATCAACGGAAATGCCCTAAGCTACAATATGGAACCAATGTTCCTAATTTGGAAAAAGCGCAGCGTGTAAATTTAAACTTCAATACGATCAAAGTTACCCGCATTATCAAAGATACCCCGTTTTATAGTACCTGGCTAGTTTCATGTTAAAATAGTGAATTTTACAATTTTCGGTCGTGTCCAAATAATAAGATTATTAAAACTTGCGTTATGCCAATAAAATATGGTTTTCAGTACAATTATTAAATAAGATATGACAGAAAATGTTTTTTTAATAATTACTTTATTTGTACAGGCTCAATCGAATAAACTTTACAGAGTCGAGTTATCATTTTCGTCATACATTATTACTGTCTTATATTTAAAGTTAAAGGAACTGGACCGAGTACTCGCGGTTGTCTCGAGGTTAGTGGAAATTTAAATTTTTTTGGATGAGAAAAGGAAGAAGGAAGTTTGAAATGTGGTTTACGATACAAATATTTAATTAATCCTACAACATGACATTATTTCTATTCATCTTGAAAACGAACATTGAAAAAAAAAACCCACGCGTACAAAATACAAACTAAACGCAAGGTTAATCAAACTTACAATCTGAGGTTAATATTCTTAAAGTAAACATAAATGAGTTTTATAAACTCCAGATCGCGTCTAGCTAAAAAATCCCGAACTGGAACATTACGTTGTCTACCTCGAGCCCGAAAGGAATCATAAAAATGTGATCTGACTCCACCGCACAAGACCAAAGGATGTGATCAGCGTCCTGGTAACCTTGTCCACATTCACAGAGATTGCTGTCTCCCAACCCCACACGGAACAAGTGACCGTTTAGACAATAGTGATTGGAATAAAATGTAATTGAAGGCTTCATATTAGACCGAGGTCAGGGACATGCACCCTACAAGAAATGAAGATTATTTAAAGTAAAAAAAAGTTTCAATGTCATTCTGCTGAAATTCTTTCAAAAGACGCCATATTTAAAATACGTTAAACACTACCGCTATCTACTCATCCGATCAAGAACACGAATACACGTAAAATCTATATTGGCTTGGTTTGCGTCTCACCTCATTTGACAGATCGAATCGTTCACTTGATAAAAACGAATTGTGGACAAACGAAATGCTCTAAATAGTATAGTTAACTCATAAATCACATAAAGTGCAGGAACTCAGCGATGAGTAAACTTGTCTCATGTTTTTCCAGGTTTTTCCAAATTTGTCAAGGAAAAACTTCCCGAGTATGAGAAAAGTAAAAATTGGATTCACTCAGTCTCTTGGTATCACTCCTAGATTGAGTAAAATTTTCGTCAATTTTCCTCATTTTTCGGCAGATTTTTGAGGTTTTCCACAGGAAACCATGAGCCAAATTTACTCAAATTTGGGTCATTCTCATTCGCCGTGCAGAGGCATGTCGGTGAGTGAACTAAACTCAAATTTGGGTCATTCTCATTCGCCGTGCAGAGGCATGTCGGTTCGTCGGTGATTTCCGGTCAGTATTCTTACCGCCAAAGCTCAAGCATCTAGGAGTCTGGATGAAATAATACGGCCAAAAAAACCATCCGGGAATAAGAATTCCCGAACGTATTCGAAAAGTGTTTCCTGGAAAGTCGGGGAAATTTTTTTATAATGACTGATATACGTTTTTACGGATTTGAAGGAACGGACTTCAAATGTGAGTCAGATTAATCGGCAGTGTATGATTCTCAAAATAATTTTTTCAAGCCTCAAAGTATCAACCAAGAGGATTAGGGGCTGTTCACATACCACGTACCATAGTTCTTGTGGAATTTTTTAAAAATTTGTATGGACCGTGGACATTTCTCAACTCCGACCCCCTAAAATGTTCATGTGATATAATAGATCATCAGAGTGCTATTGAAAGTTATAGCTTAAACTATTAACGTCTTCAGTGCCAAGAGATCAAACCCAAGTTGCGAGAAGAACCGTCGCATTGATCCAGCCTCAACCGACCCAGTTGCAATCGAATCCAACTATTACCGATTACCACATTTGATTTAAATCGCTAATCAAAATTCGTTCACGATCAACCAGAGACACAAATCAACTCAATTTGCAGTAATCGCATCGCGGACCACCATTGAAGCTATAATTATTTTATTAGCATCAATTTGGAGCGTACTGTGCCATGCTTTGGCCGTCGCTTCAGACAGATGTCAGTCAAATCTCAGTTTCGCACGCTTTTTTGTTTTGTTTTGTATTTTTTTGGTGTGAATCTTCCACTACAGTAATCACTTCATTCATGCGGTGGGTGGTTCCATCCACCCACCGCTATTTCTTGGCTGTCCCGGAACCAAGTGAGCTGATTTTGTGTAGATAACTAGATTATGGTTGGCGATATTCAAAATTCTGCTTTGGTCACTCATTTGATCTAACAGTCATTGTCAAGGCAAACCATGTCAATTGACAGTGACAACTGTGAACATATTAGCTAAATTTGAAACGAAATAAGATGACATGAGTGAACCGTTAAAGTGAACAAGCATCTACGCCCTGAACTGCTTGGTTAACAATAATGTGACTCTGACTGCATGAAATTTGACTTTTGTTACCAAAAACATGAATAAGATTTTGACAAAGATTTTCTTGAGGATCAAGTCAATCAGTGACTATGTGAAAAACAATTTTGTCAATTGCTAACCAGATACAAAAAATCAGTGTAATTGGTTGTAGGACAAACGAGAAACAGCACCCACCGCATAAATGGAGGATTCACTGTATTTTGCTTTCCATCTCTAGGTATCCGAAAACGATGGCATAACGCCACACGAAAAATTCCTACACAAATAAAACCGTTCAATGTAAACATTCGGGGTATCATTCAACGGCACGACACACGCACGTGTTTGCTCTACTGATCCATTGTCACGATGTTATCTATTAAGCTACTGATGTTAACTTAACATATTTCTAGTAACCGGCATTTGTTGTGCAGTAATCTTTAAAATTTAAACCCAATCACAAAGGCAAGGCCCGCGACAGTAACATCAGTGATGACATTATAAGCTACAAATTAATTTAGGGATTTGAATGTGTTATTAATTTCCTGTGGCCTTCGAGAGAAACAAAGCAGCCTGTACGGGTGAGCTCGAGTTGATTTCGCTCGCTCACAGTAAACCAGAACGAGAATAGAAACGGATTGGTTGCGAGCGGCCGCCTCTCACCGCCGCCCCAGTGGCCTAATGGAGAAGGCACCGGCCTCCTAAGCCGGGGATTGTGGGTTCGAGTCCCATCTGGGGTAGTCCTGGTGAACACAATTTTTTTTTATCACACACTTCCCTAGCCATGCGGTCACACTGATATTGGATAAGAGCTACCTGTTTTCACCCAACGGAATGTATCTTTGTCTGTCCATCAAAAAGCTTTAACCTCAATAAATCAATAACATTAAATTAATTAGCTTACCATGCTCTGGGACGCAACTGACACTCTGGGAGATGGGTATAATGATGAATAGGATGATTTTGGATGCCTAAAATGGGCAAACGGGGTAATAAACCGAATGGGCGCGTTTCGTTTGCTTTTCTGTTTTCATCTTATCGGTGATTTTTTTTATGTTTTTCTCTCATTCAGTGTTGACTTACTTCTGACTGCCTTTTTTTTTGTCGTTTCTTTTCAGCCGACGGTTATCTCGAAATCACGTCTCGTCAAGTACTTCGAGCTGAGTGAGCTTCCCGATGAGTTGGGTGGCAACGCCGTGTACAACCACGACCAATGGATACAGAATCGGCTGGTGAGCAAAATTATTATAATGATTTGTCGCACGCCTTTTGACAGCACCTTTACTTTTGCCAATTTTCGAAATAACAATCATGACTTCTGTACCCAAGTAACAATTCAGCAGCTACTTGGCATCCACTCTGATTTATTATGGTTTTATAAAGGAAATGAATAATCCATTAAGTTTAAATACAGGATTTCAAAGTTTAAAACATCCCTGGTTTAAAATTCAGCTTATTGCTGTTTTAAAAACCTTTTGTAGTCTGTCGAGAAAGTCAATTTTTTTCTTGTTTTGAAAATAAATTAAAAGCAGCTCTCTATCCCTCCATAAAACTGTTCTGTAAATCAATCATAAACTTCATAAGCAATTGCCATATCGGTTGATGGTGCAATTCGGGAACCATCCGGAAGAAGGGGATCTTTTACAGGAATGGTTGAGCTTCCAGCTGTTGCATTATATATGCGAACTATGGCGAAATGCTGCAAAACAGTGCCGCACACTTCCTTAGTAACTGCTTCCAATCCAACGGGAGAAAATCGCCTGGAAGAACGCTGTTGTAATCGAACAACGCAACTATCGAAAGATATTTGCAGGTAAATTTGCCTCCATAAATGCTGCCATAAATCTGAAAGGGTTAGGATCAAGCAAAATGATTTTATATAAATACAATTCAGTCAGGAAGTTTTCTTCTTAAAAGCCATTTCAAAACCTTATGAATTTGTTGGGGATTTCATTAAAGTAAACAACTTTTTCACAAATGGCCCATGAAAACCAAATTTTAAGCCACCGCCATATTAAAATTATTTTGTTGATTTTTACAATCTTCGTATTCAATGTGTAATTCCATGGACATAACTTTATTTTGATCAAATTAGCAATGAGCAGATATTTGAAATACGATAATCATAAAAAATATTTCGGCTGAGCTTAATGATTAATCTGAAGAATAACTACTTTTTTTTCTCAATTAAAAATAATAAACAAAATCGACGTTTTCCGAGGACGGACTTATTTTTTTCGACGTTTTCAAGTAAATTTCACATAAAATTTAATATGGCACCTTTTATGCCACTTTAAGAGAACAATTTTAATAATTTTGAAAATTGAATAGGTTTTTCATATGATTAGATTACATTTCCATTATTTTGTTACGATCGGTTGGTATTTATGAATCCTTTTCTATCTTGATTGATAATTTTTATAGTAGATTCAGCAAGTGGCTAGCAAAAATGGCTTTAAAAGGGTTTTTATTGTTGCCAAATAGCTTTTATTGTAGCTTAAATACGGGATTAAAATGGTTCTCAATACGTTCGTCATACAACCTTTTTGCAGTAAATCAATTTTGAAGAGCTTCGAAAATATACCCTTTGGAACCTTCTCCAGAATGGGCAAACTAGACAGATTCTATTCTTAATGAGGTTTTCGTGGATGCATCAATGGCAAAGTAGCCTTGACCAGGGTTTTATGAATGTTGTTTTATAGAAGTTTTGTATTACTTCATAAAACTTAAAATGCTACTTTGGTAGTATGGTTAATATGGATTACACTAAAAGAAGCGGTACAAATATACACACTTAGATTTTTTACAGGAGTCAGTATTTTTTACTGGTTTTTTTAATTACTGTAAAACTCGGTTAAAATTCAAATGACCGTTATTCGTAAAGATTCGATAAAATCGAAAAAAAAATATTAAACGGGATTAACAGAATTAAGTCTGTAAATTTTCGTAATGCATTTCTTCAACTTTGAATTTTTTTACAATTTTTTTAAATTTTACCGAACAGTTCCGCAATTCAAAAACTTGGTTAAAATTACTAAATGGATAAGTGTGTACATGTAGGGGAACTGGGGGTAAGACCGGCCCATGGTTAGACAGTTCAAAAAAGAAATTTTGTGGTAGTACAGTTTGAATAGGCTATTTTGGTATTCACTGTTTATTACAAAAAAAGTATCAAAAACTGTCGTTCTTAAAACAGTGCATTCTAAAATTTGATTAAATTATATGCTTGCGAGGCATCGTGAATAGCACTAGTTTACAGCATATTTGAACTTTGTACACTGATGGTCATTTCCCATGTAAAATCGTGCGCTGAATCCAAAAATGTAGTCAGAAAAAATCTCAATAGGATAGTTTTCTGGATACAGCTAAAAAATGAGATTTTATTTACCAAAATACAAATATCTCCGGCTGTAATGAAGCAATATCAATTATTTTAATGCCAAATTAAAAGTGAAATTCAGCGCATTTTACATAAAAATCATAGATCAAACATTGAAGTTAATTATGCTTTACTTTTGTTTGTAAACTAGTGTTATTATTCAACTTGATTGGTAAGTTAACTTTTTGAACAGTAGTCAAATTGATTTGCAGTTTCCAAAAAAAGTATTCTGTTTGAGTTGCCCAATACAAATCATAAACGTGTCCGATGTTGAGAAAAGTGTGAATTTGTGACAAGCCACAGACAAACAGGCGTAGCTCTTTATTCTGGATATTCATTCCCGCATTTAACGATTGATTTGAATATTATAATTTCCACGATCTACACACAGCAGCGCTGGCATTGGATCACTTTCACGTTTCTATATATTCTGTTTACCTTCCATGCAACATTGTTTGGGACTTAGCGAGCAAGCTTGTTTTCCACGAGAAATTCGGGAAATGTCATTGCTGAGGTCTTATTGTTTGAGGTACAATATTTTCAAGAAAACCTTAGTCAAAGAGCTACGTCTGTTTGTCTTGGATTTCTCTTTATGTTCACAGGATCTCTTTACGTTTTTCCGCTGTAATTTTTTTCTCGAAATTGGCTGCTGATTTGGTAAAAACGACTTCAGTGAAAAACTCACCAGGACCGAATTTCCAACAAATGCTGGAGCCACCAGGGATGGAAAATCATTTACATTCATTTCGTGCATTCATTAACATTCATTTGCCTCTAACTTTTTTCATCAACAGAATACCGTAAAATGATATATAAAGCTTTTGTAGCTTTTGATATGAACTACAACTTTTGTTAATACCTAAAATCTATATCTCTTATGAATGACGAAATAGAGCTGGCAGAACATGTTATTGTTTTTCAGTGAAATCAATTTACATTCACTGAAAAACAATGGTGGGTTCTTATCGCTCTGATTCATCATGCATAAGAGATACAGAAGGGTACTTGACAGTATATCCCTCTTTTTCTGAAAACGGAAACCACAATCTTGGTTTTCAAAATGGTGTTGGACATTGATTTTCGGTCTCTATACGGCACCCCGATCCTGAAAAAAAAAACCATAATGAAAGGTATTTAACAGTATTTTTCACTTTTTCTGAAACCGGAAGCCACCATCTTGGGCTTAAAAATGGCGTCTAACATGGATATACAGTCTCTAGGCATCACCCTGATTCCGAAAATACCCATATTTTAAATGTCGATGCGATAAATGCGATTTGATGTCATTGACATGAAGAAGTTTTTCAAAGAACTTATGCGGTTTATTTTTGGACCACCCTAACACGGAAATGGTCACCCTAATGGTGAAATTAAAATATACGAGTCTAATATTGCGCAATTTGCACCTTAGTAGACTCCTGAGCTGAAATTATTTTCTCAGCCACGGTCCCTCACCTCACTCACAGGCGTGCATGCTTTGATCGTTTTTCTTGATTTGTTTTGATTATTTTCCACTTACGCGCTTGTCTGATTGTAGGGGAAATGTATGTAATGTCGGCCTAAGTGTCCCTAATTTAGGCCCATACATTAATTCAGCAATCGACTAAATTTTAAAAATGTCCATTAGTATCGTCCCAATGACGCGTTCATCTAGATACAATTGATAAATAGCAGATTTTTAGCGATGGGCCGAATATTAGATCCATAGGCTAACATTAGAGACATTTCCCTTATTCAATTGTTCTGTTCCACTGTTTTCCTATCAGCTTCATTCCGGAATAAATAGTCTTGGGAAAAGTTTATTGTTAGGTGAGTATTTTCAAATATCAGTTGTGGAATTATTAATCAAACGATTTCTTTAATTGCACAGATTGCAAGAGTATGGAGAAAATCCAAAAACGGCGTTGCTTGGAAAGCTTCGGAAAATCCGGAAACAGAAAATCTGTCGCGTCTTTCCAACCCCGATGACGAGTAGGAATATCTCGAAGTTGGCCAAGGAGGAGAAGAACGCTTGATCTCTGATTGTGATGATGATCTGGCCGTGAATGTAGATTATAAATTGAATTTAACCGGTTAAAATCGTGGCTCAATCTATGCTGCCTAGTGGTTTGTATGGCTGTTGGCTGCTGGTATCGGTTCGTGAGTTTAAGGGTCAGAGTTCAGGAAAAGCTGCAGGTAAATGGGGAGTTTCAAGAGACTTTCCCGCGGAGTTTGTGAAAAACTGTTGGTTGTTGTCCCAACAGTTTCTCAAACGTGAGGTCGTCTTCGTCTGCGATGGAAATGGTGGTGCCCCAGATTTCAGTCGTTTCGCATTATTTAACGACAAATCTTGTCACAGGTCACATACCGTTAACAAAATCACAGCAACAATTTTGCAAAACTGGAAGAACAAAGAGATTCATCTTCTCTTGCACGTGTACTCTCTTTCCGTAAATAACAAGGCAGTCCATAAGGGGACCAAGGACACTCTTTTAGAACCCGAGGAACGAGATAGAGCTGGTGCTGCGTCCAACAATCTGTTGGACTATTAGTTGAAAACTTACGCTAAACGCACGGGGATCATTGGCAAGCAGTGGATGTTGCATGGATGATGTGGACTAATGCCATTTTTGCTTCCGACCCTTGTATCAACGAAAGCCTTGTGAAGCTTTTCACAGCCAAATAGCTGCCGCGATTGAGGCAAATTCGTCAGAACTTTACCGTGGCTCACAACGTCAATGTAGGGTATCACGATGAAATCATCCCAACAAACAATTCAAGTTGATCAACAGCTGAATAAGCTATTTTTTAGCTGAAGAAGCATGTTCTTGCCTGAATAAGCTCTTATTCAACGCCCAATGTTTGTTGGGATCT